GCGTTCGCGGCGGGGCCGGCCCGGGAGCCCAGCTTTCCCCTCGGTGGCGCCTGAAGATGGAGCGGGTCTCGGGGGCCTGGGCCCTCCTGTGGGCGGTGTTGGCTGCGGGTGAGTCTGCTCCCCGGGGGGCACGCTGGGCTGAGTTGGCCCTGGGGGCGGCTGCGGCCAGCTTGGCTGGGGTTCTGGTGAGGGACGGGGGGTGGGGGGGAGACAGAAGGTAACCGACTGGCGACGTGCGGTGACACTGCTCCGTGGTGCTGTGTGCACAGTCGGAGCTGCGAATGGGTGTCTGGATGCCCCCCGCCCGCTCCCCCCGATGTAAAAGGAGTGTGTGCTCCGTCCCCGCCAGGGCCATCTCTGCGCTTCCTGTGCGCGATAATGAGATCCAGCTCAGCAGGCAGCACACGAGGCTCACAGATGGGCTTCAGGGTCAGAGCCGCTGAGCGGTGATCATTCCAGCACCTTCCCTTGGGGCAGCGGTTCCCTCTGGGGGCCCTGCAGTCGGGGGACGGGGGGCAGTGCCGGGGCAGAGGCCGGCGGCCTCCCGCCGGACGAACCACCCCCTGAGCCTCTGCCCTCCTCTGGCCGCCGCAGCGCACGCCTTCCGGATGGAGATCTCGCCGGAGTCGCCCGTCATGGCCCCGATCGGCACAGCCGTCTCGCTGACCTGCCGGGCGGACGGCTGCGCGGCGCCCGCCTTCTCCTGGCGGACCCAGATCGACAGCCCGCTGGGCGGGCGGGTGCGGAGCGCCGGGCCGGCGTCCACGCTCACCATGGACCCCGTGGGCTTCGGGAACGAGCACTCGTACCTGTGCACGGCCGCCTGCGGGGCCCGGAAGGCGGAGCGGGGCGTGGAGGTGCACGTCTACTGTGAGTACGCGGCCCCCGGGCGGGCCTAAGGGAAGTCTCTAACGGGGGTTGTTTGGAAAGAGAGATCGTCCGGGTCCGGATGCTGGCCGGGGGGCTAGATTCTCGCACCCGGAGAGGGAGAGGCCGCTGAGCTTGGCTGAGCCCGGGAGCCAGGGCCGTGGCCTCCACGTCCCACGCCGCACAGAGCTGGTGGCCCGGAGGGCGTGGCTGCGCTGGGCCTGCGGCTCTGAGCCACGCAGGGACGCCCTCGGAGCTCGGACTGCACAAAGCTTCCTCCTGCGTTAGACGCTCCCGGGCGTCTCCATGGCCCCAGAGTGCCATCCTCCGGGGCCCCCGTTTCTGTAGTCTGATGCACCGGGGTGCTCAGCACGGGTGAGGGGGAGATGGCGGAGTTAGTAACGGGCTCCCGTCCAAAAGCCCCCCCCTCCCCGGGACAGAGGGAGAATGTCTGCACCCCCCCCCCCCCCCATTCTCCGCGCACTGGGTCTCCCCTGTGGGTCAGTGTGAGCTCGTCCTGGCTGCTCTGGGTCCGTGGATCCTGGGGCGCCGCTGCCCAAGCTCCAGGGCATTTGCATAATGAATTCGGTTTGCCTGGAGAGGGTGAATGGATGCCCCTCACTTAGCATTCCAGCAGCGTGCGTCCTGTCTGCGCTCAGCCCGCCCGCCAAGTGCAGCCAGCGGCGGGGGAGGGGGGCCCCCACTCGCCTCAAATCAATCCCTGGCCGCGGTGAGCGGGCCCCTCTCTCAGGAACAAAAACCACAGCCGGCGGTGCTTTGCAGGCCTGCCCCGGGTGCCCGCGTTATGGTTCTCTCGGTGGCGACGCCCAGCTCTGCCCAGAAACCCGAGCCAGTTCCCCCCGCCCCCACCCCGGGGGTGCAGGCCATGCAGCATCCTCCCTGGGCGGCTGCTTCCGAGCGCCCGGGCCCTCCTGGCCACGGAGGGAAGGCAGCCAGCGCTGGGTCACCGGGCAGCGAGCCGCGTGGGCGCAGGCACAGCCCTCCCGGAATTGGAGGGACAGGGATGGGAGGGTGGGGGGAGGAGGAAAGGGGCTGCATTCCTCCCACATCCGAGCTTCCGGCCCCTTTGCCTCCGCTCCCTGGTCCATAAATCGCGGAGGATTTAACGAAGAGAAGGGGGACCTCTGGCCCCTGATCTCGCCTGCGGTTTTCCTTCCCGGTGTCTGCCCTGCTTTCTGGGGGACACACTCGGGGGGGAAGGGGGGGTCTGCAGGGCTGAGACCTTCGGGTTGTCACCGCAGAGCTCGTCAGCATCCCGAAGGTCTGGCCGGGAAGCCTGTGCCCGGAGGCCGAGGCTGAGGCCGGCTGAGCGTGCCCCGGCCCCAGAGGCGCCTGCAGGGCTGGGCGGCACCGAGCGGGCATTTCGGGAGGCAGCCCGCCTTCCGGGCTTTGCAGATGCACAGATGCCCCTTCCCGGCGATCGGTTCCTGGTGATCGGTTCCTGCCGGAGGCTCCCTCTCAGCAGCAGGCATTTAGCGTGGCTCCCTCCCCGTCTTAGCGATTCTCCCCACCGCTCCTCTCTGAGCGGCCCATGAGCCTCGGGCCCTCACCTGTCAGAGGGGAACGTGTCTGCCCGGCTAACGTGACAGAATGTGATACAACGAACTATAGACCCCAGGGACAGTGCAGAGTCAGAAACCCCGAGCTCCCATCCCGGACGTCACAGTGACCTGGGGCCAGTGTGTGCTTTCACACCTGCGGAGTGTGGTCCCGTCTCTCGGGGTTCTTGTGAGGACAGAGTAAGGTCACCCTTACTGTGAGTCCTTAGCAGGCATTCCCTTCCCCTCCCTTCTTCTACTCAATGACATGTAAGCCTCAGACACATGGGAGCAGAGCTGTGGTTACACAATCGAGACTGTCTTCACAGAAACGTTAGATCCAGTTTGCACTGCGGGAACTCCCTGCGGGGCCCGCCCCACACGAGCCCGGAGCCCCCTCACGCGTGTTCCTTTGATCTTTGCAGCTTTCCCCAAGGCCCCGGAGATCCACCTGCCCAGCCCCCTGCGGCTGGGGCAGCCGACCACGGCCACCTGCCTGGTCCCCGACGTCTACCCGTTCGACAGGCTGGAGGTGGAGGTGCTGAAGGACGGCCGAGTCTTGAGAAGCCAGGAGTTCCTGGAGCCCATGGAGAGCAAGTCCCTGAAGAACATGAGCGTGGAGGTGACCTTCACGCCCACCCGGGAGGACTCGGGGAAGGCCCTCGCGTGCCGAGCCACGCTGCACATCCCCGAGGTGGCCGAGGAGCTCCGGAGGAGGGAGAGCACCAGGGAGCTGCAGGTGTACGGTGAGGCCGGGCGCCGGGCGGCTGGGCGGGCGGGCGCTCCGTCGTGGCTGGCCGCGGCAGGCGGCTCAGCGGCGGAGTCAGGCAGCAACGTGTTTCGGCCCCGTTTTCTTCGGGGAGGACGTGTCAGTGAAAAGAGAGCGGGGTGGGGGCCACTCAATTCCTCTGCTTCCCAGCCTGTCGAAGGGAAGTAATCATACCACACACGGGGCAGTCGTGTCATTTTTTATCGTGTTGTGAATTCTTGTACTGTGCGCCGACTCTCGGGTACGGAGATCTTACCCGGCGAGCACTGGCTCTGTGGGTACCTGTATGTTTGTTTTTGGGGGGCGGGCGTGCAGCGGGCTCTGGCTGCCTCCACACTCCCGGAGGCTGCGGGGTTCGGAGGCGCCTCGAGGTCCCGGGTTGTGTAGGGGCGGCCCCGCTGCTCTCCGTTCTGGACTAGGACCTGCGCTCTGCTGTGGACGCCCCTCTGAGAGGGGGAATGCCCACCGAGCACGCTCGGAAGAGAAGGAGAGGGAGAGACTTTTATCAAAATTCTGAGTAGCCGCCGAAACTGGTTTGGCTCAGTGGATAGAGCGTCGGTCCGCGGACTGAAGGGTCCCAGGTTCGATTCCGGTCAGGGGCATGTACCTTGGTTGCGGGTACATCCCCAGTGGGGAGTGTGCAAGAGGCAGCTGATCGATGTTTCTCTCTCATCGATGTTTATAGCTCTCTATCACTCTGCCTTCCTCTATGTAAAAAAAACAATAAAATATATTTAAAAATTTTTTTTAAATTCTGAACAGTCAAGATAGGGGATATTTTTCGTAGAGAATGCAGAACTTGGAGGAAAAGAGGGCTATAATTAAGTATTTGAACCACATCAAGAGTCTTAATTTCTGAGTATCTATAGCCAATTGAAAACACCAACCATCACAAAAAAACTAGCACAATCAGACTGGTCAGACCTGGATGGACTGATGTGTCTGCACCGTCTGACACAGCACGTCTGTCGGAGCTCTGGGCGCACAGACACCAGGCCGGCTGTGGGCGCAGTCACGGGGGGCTCAGCCGTCACTGACGCGGTGCCTGTCTTGCAGTCTCGCCCACGAACACCACCGTGTCGGTGAGCCCCTCGGCCCGGCTGCAGGAGGGCGGCTCGGTGACCATGGCCTGCGCCAGCCGGGGCCTGCCCGCGCCGCGGGTCTCCTGGAGCAGGCAGCTGGCCGGCGGGCGCCTGCAGCCGCTCTCCGGGAACGCCACGCTCACGCTGGTCGCCATGAGGGCGGAGGACTCCGGGGTTTACGTGTGCACGGCGGGGAACCTGGCTGGCGAGGACCGGAAGGAGGTGGAGCTGCTTGTCCAGGGTGAGTGAGGCGTGCAGAAGCGAGAGCCAGAGGCTGCCGCGGGCTGGGAGCCACGGTGAGGCCGCTCCGGTGCCCAGTTGCTCCCCCGGATCTTGCGGGCGCCCCATCTCATTGCCGCGGGCCCCGGCTCAGGTGTGCGCTCACCGTCCTCACGCCTGTAAGACGCAGCGCCTGCCATGTGCTGGGTGCTAGGTGCTGGGTGCTCCATGAGGCAGGTGCTGGGTGCTGGGTGCTCCATACATGGCACACGTGGGCAGCTCCCGTTTTTCACGTGTGAAACTGTGAGGCTGAACCGGGACGGTTAAAAAGGAGACTTCGGCCTCGCCGTCGGTGGAGGCACTCGGTTGGGGGTTCGACGGGCTTTCTCAGGAGACCGGGAGAGGCAGCCCCTAGGGAAAGCAGGGACAGCCGGTCCTCTGTCCTGGAAGACCCCCCTCCCCACCCCCCACATCCTAAGCTGCGTCCCCTTCAGGGGGAGGGAGACACGCGGGTGAGGAAGGGAGTCTGTCTGCATCCCAGGACACGGGCAGCCTGAGCGGTAAAGAGGGAACTGGGCTTCCAAAGGGCCTCAGTGACCTGTCAGTGCTCCCACAGGAGCCGCAGACTCACGTGGGAACAGAGCCACTGTAAAAATTTAAAGAAGAGGAAGTGACCTGAGACTTGGCCACAGGCAGGAAGCGGCTCCGTGTACAGTTCCCCCTTCCCACAGCCGAGGGTCAGGAATGGGAACACCGGGCCTCGCTCGGGACGAGCTGCAGCTGGCAGGACCTCAGAGCCGCCCGTCTCCTCAGGGGATGCGAGGAAAGCCTTCTTGGGCCCCAACCGGTGTGGCTCAGTGGATAGAGCGTCAGCCTGCGGACTGAAAGGTCCCGGGTTCGATTCCGGTCAGGGGCATGTAACCTGGTTGTGGGCACATCCCCAGTGGGGCTGTGCAGGAGGCAGCTGGTCGATGTTTCTCTCTCATCGATGTTTCTAGCTCTCTATCCCTCTCCCTTCCTCTCTGCAAAAAAGTTAATAAAGTATATTTTAAAAAGAAAAAAGGAAAAGAAAGCCATCAGGACCATGTGAGCGGTTTTCGGCGGAGTCTGGCCTGTCACTGTCAGCGCTGCCCCGCACTTCCTGTTTCTCCCGGGGAACAGAGCGGAGATTTCGAGTTCCCTTTCTCCCCAGACGGCAGGGTGTGTGCCCGGCAGGGATACACGGGCGGCCAGAGGGCTGTGCTGGATGCAGGGGACGTGGCAGGCTCTGCCCTCCCGTCTGAGGGGCCAGTCCCCGTGTTTTATTCTGCATCGAAGTCTGGAGGCGGCTCCTGGGCCCCTTTGGTGCTTGGCCGGTGGCTTCGCTTCCAGTGTGACCTCCGACAGGTGCCTCCTCCCCGTTGGGACAGATGCTCCAGGTGCCAGTCCGCCAAGGGCCCTGCCTCACCGGGAGACCTGTGTTGTGGCTTTGTGGCTTTCTTTAGTGCTTCCCTTGGGCCTTGTTTTCTCTCCACACGAGGGTGACTGGACGGAGTTGTTCAAGCGGCTGAGAAGCTGGGATCCTGAATCAGACCCGCCTGGCTTCAAGCCTTACTTTCGGCTCTTGCCAGTTGTATAAAGTTATTGAGCAGCTCTGAGCCCAAGCTTCCTCAAGGAGGAGAAGGTGGAGGAGGAGAAACAGGAGGAGGAGGAGGAGGAGGAGGAGGAGGAGGAGGAGGGGGAGGAGAATTAGCGCAATGGTTCATGAGGCTGTGCGGACTAAGTGAGACAATAGACGTAAAGCGGTTACACAATGCTGAAGGCACCGGAGCCTCTTAGATGACCTGAGTGCTGCCATTTAATGTTCCTATGGTCTTAGGCTCTACAGCAGCGGTTCTCAACCTGTGGGTCGCGACTGTAGAGCCTAAGACCATCCATCGGAAAACACAGATATTTACATTATGATTCATTATCAGTAGCACAATTACAGTTATGAAGTAGCTACGAAAATAATGTTATGATTGGGGGTCACCACCCCATGAGGAGCTGTGTGAAAGGGTCTCGGCTTTAGGAACGTTGAGAACCACTGGCTTAAAGGAAATCAGAAACAAACAACAAAACCAGAAAACACCCGTCAGCGACCACACCCTGGAAGGCAGTGAAAGAAGAAGATGCTCACCTTCCTCCCATCTTGTCTCTTCCTGCAGAGAAGCCGTTCGCGGTGGACGTGGGCCCCCGGCCCCGGGTGGCCGCCCGGATCGGCGGCGCGGTCACGCTGACGTGCGGGGCCGCGGGCTGCGAGGCGCCGGCCTTCTCCTGGCGGACCCAGATGGACAGCCCGCTGGGCGGGCGGGTGCGGAGCGAGGGGCCCCGGTCCACGCTGACGCTGAGCCCCGTGGGCTTCGAGCATGAGCACTCGTACCTGTGCACGGTGACCTGCGGCCGCAGGAAGCTGGAGAAGGGAGTCCAGGTGGAGCTCTACTGTGAGTGCCCCCCCCCCCCCCCCCCCACGGCGTACGGCCTTGTTCCGGTCCCGTCGGGAGAAACGGAATGAGTGCGACGTGCAATGAGACCGGGTGTCTAGGGAGGGACCTTAGCACCGGGAACGCTTCCTGACTGAACCAGAATTCCCGAGGCAACTTAGTGGGCCTGGATCTTCAGCACACATTGCATACATGCACAGCATCCTAGCTCTTCAGCACACATTACATGCATGCACAGCATCCTAGCTCTTCAGCACACATTGCATACGTGCACAGCATCCCTAGCTCTTCAGCACACATTGCATACATTTGATTGACATTTCTTTTTGAGAGCCAATTTTTTTAAACTTCTAAGGCCACTTCTTCAAAATAGACTCGCCACAGGTGGTACTTTGTGGAAGAACCACACTCAAGGAGCCAAAGAGCCGCGGGTGGCTCTCGAGCCGCAGTTTGCCGACCACAGGGCTAGCCACTCTCAGACGTGTCCGGTTTCCTAGCTTTGAAATAGGTGCTCTGTGGCTTTTCCTAGCTGGAAACACATTAAGTAACACCCACTTCATCAGGACGGAGACCCGGTCAGGGACCCAGCACATCTTGGCACACACGGAGGACACGGAGTTACAAATAAGACGGGGGGGGGCTCCAGGGTCTCGGGGAGAGTCCTCCGTGGCTCTCCGCAGCGCTGTCACTGGAAGAGGGAGATAAGTCCGTCTATTAGGGGACTTCTTCATTTACTACTTTTTGTTTCCAGCGTCACGTACATTTAGTATCGCACACATTTCCACTTAACGCCGTTTTCACACGTGGTGGCCACTCCCTCCCACAGGCTTTAACGCTGTCACCGGAGAAATGGGTTTAATGGAGGTCAGTTCTGGCTTTCCGTTCAGAGCCGCAGGAGCCTCATGTTTGCTTGTGTCCGCAGCGTTCCCCAGGGACCCGGAGATCCAGACGGGCAGCGTGCTGGTGAGCGGCAGCCCGGCCACCGTGAGCTGCCAGGTGCCCGAGGTGTACCCGCTGGAGCGGCTGGAGATGTGGCTGCTGAAGGGGGGCCACGTGGTGAGGAGTGAGAACTTCCTGATGGGTGCCGACCAGAAGTCCCTGGAGACCGGCCGCCTGAACGTGACCTTCGTCCCCACCACCGAGGACACAGGCGAGGCTCTCGTCTGCGAGGCCCGGCTGCGCCTGGAGGAGCTGGACATGGAGGCCATGCAGCGGCAGAGCTCACAGACGCTCCACGTGAACAGTAAGTCTCACAGGGGCTCCTTCCTCTCTTTGCCAGGCAGTAGTTGTGGGCACGAGGGTAAGAGTTAGAACCTCCGTGCCAAAGAAAAGGACTGAAAAGAAATGCCCAATAATGATCATTCTAACAAACCTCTCGACACTGAAGACAATAACTGCCCACTGGCCTGTGACTATGAGACTGCGGCGTTGGCAGGGCGGTCAGGGCGGGTGTCTGCTCAGTGTGGCCTGAGATGAACTCACGCGGTCAGTTGGTGGTCAGTTGGCGGGTCAGTTGGAGGGTTAGTTGGAAGGTCAGTTGGAGGGTCAGTTGGAAGGTCAGTTGGAGGGTCAGTTGGAAGGTCAATTGGAAGGTCAATTGGCGGGTCAATTGGTGGGTCAGTTCAAGGTCAGTTGGCAGGTCAGTTGGCCGGTCAGTTGATGACAGTTGGAGGGTCAGTTGGTGGGTCAGTTGGTGGGTCAGTTGGAGGGTCAGTTGATGGCAGTTGGAGGGTCAGTTGGAGGGTCAGTTGATGTCAGTTGGAGGGTCAATTGATGGCAGTTGGAGAGGCAGTTGGAAGATCAGTTGGCAGGTCAGTTGGAAGATCAGTTGGCGGTCAGTTGGATGGTCAGTTGGTGGTCAGTTGGAGGGTCAGTTGGAGGGTCAGTTGGAGGGTCAGTTGGCGGGTCAGTTGATGGCAGTTGGAGAGGCAGTTGGAAGATCAGTTGGCAGGTCAGTTGGAAGATCAGTTGGCGGTCAGTTGGATGGTCAGTTGGTGGTCAGTTGGAGGGTCAGTTGGCGGGTCAGTTGGAGGGTCAGTTGGCGGGTCAGTTGATGAGTCAGTTGACTGACCCTCCAACTGACCCACCAACTGCCCCGCCAACTGACCCGCATGAGGAAACACCCAGGATGTGCCCATTTTTTTTCCTGTCTGTGCTTCTGCATCTGCTAGGGCACAAGGGGATGGACGGAAACCCCCTTTGGTCATCAAGGGTTATGAACTGTCCTAACCCATTGCTTGCATAGCCTGGCTTTGCAACATTATTAAAGCTCCTTGGCTTAAGGGTTCGAGCTGACAAGTGTCCCACCCTTTTCAGTTGCCCCCAGCAACACCAGCATCCTGGTGAGCCCCTCCCCCACCCTGGAGGAAGGCAGCTCGGTGGCGATGACGTGCTCCAGCGATGGCCTCCCCGCGCCCGGACTCCGGTGGAGCCGGCGGCTTCCCAACGGGCAGCTGCAGTTCCTTTCTGAGAACACAACGCTCACCTTGACTTCTGCCAGGAGGGAAGATTCTGGTGTTTACGTGTGTGAAGCGAGCAGTCTGGCCGGGATAAGCAGAAGTGAAGTTGAATTAATTATCCAACAAGGTGAGCAAAATGTGATTAATTAGTTTTTGCTAGTATTATTTTGTTTGTATTAGTGGTTTCGAACAAAGTCTTCTTTAACATTTTTATTTTTAAATTACACTTGATGCACAATATTATGTTAGTTTCAAGTGTATAACCCCATTAGATATTTATGTAACTTACAAAGTGATCACACCAATAAATCTAGTATCCATCTGACACTATATATAGTTATTATAATATTGATGATATTCCCTAAGCTGTACTTTACATCCCATGACTATGCTGTAATTACCAATCTGTACTTCTAAATCCCTTCACCATTTTCAGCCAGTCCCTAAACACCCTCCCATCTAGCAACTGTCAAAATATTCTCTGACCTATGAGTCTGTTTCTGTTCATTTATCATTATTTTTTTTTAGATTCCACATATAAGTGAAATCATCTGGCATTTGTCTTTCTCTGTCTGATTCCTTTCACATAGCACAATCCCTGTATGTCCATCCATGTTGTTGAAGATGATGAGATTTCAATCTTGGTTTTCCCCCCCAGTCATAGTCCATTGTATACAGCTACCATTTCTTTATCTTGCCGTCTATTGATACTTAGGTTGCTTCCATATCTTGGCTGTTGCAAATAATGCTGCAATAAACATATGGATGTGCATGTTTTTTTCATGTAAGATTTGGGGTTTCTTCAGATAGACACCCAGAAGTGAAATTGCTGGGCCCTCCTTTGTCTCTTGTTGTATAGCCTTTATCTTAAACTCTATTTTGTCCGGTATAAGTGTTGCTACTCCAGCTTTTTGGGTTTTTTGTTTGTTTTCATTTTCTTGAAATATCTTTTTCCATCCCTTTATTTCCGGTCTGCATGTGTCCGTTGATCTCTTGTAGACAGCGTATGTAGGGTACTGTTTTGTCACGTCTTTTGATTAGAGCATTGAATCCATTGCATTTCAAGTAATTATTGACAGGCATTTGTTGTCATTTTACTATTCATATTTTTGATCTTTTATTTTCTTCTTCTTCTTCAAGAGGACCCTTTAACATTTCTTTTAATACTGGTTTGGTGAAAATGAACTCCTTTAGTTTTTTGTTTTGTTTTTTTCTTCCTGTCTGGGAAGCTCTTTATCTGTCTTTCAATTCTAAATGATAGCTTTGCATGGCAGAGTAATCTTGATTGTAGGTCCTTGCTTTTTCATCACTCTGAATGTTTTTTGCTAATCCCCCTGGCCTGCAAAGTTCCTATTGAAAAATCAACTTACAACCTTATGGGAACTACCTTGTAGATCACTAACGGCTGAGAAAAATCTGTCTTACCCTCCAAACAGGCAATCAGTGAGCTAGTGGTGCTGTCATTAATGCGGGATTGGTTTGTATTTTATCCAATCAGAGTTGCCTCCAAATTCTCTTTACAGTCGCTCCAAGAGACATTCAACTTATAGCGTCTCCTTCTGAGAGCGTCAAGGAAGGAGACACGGTCATCATCTCCTGCACGTGTGGAAATGTTCCCAAAGCCTGGATCATCCTGAAGAAGAAAGCTGAGTCCGGGGACATGGTGCTCAAGTCCATAGGAGGCGCCTACACCATCCACAAGGCCCAGTTAGAGGACGCGGGCGTGTACGAATGTGAATCCAAAAACGAGCGCGGCCTGCAGTCCCGAAGTATCACCCTTGATGTGAAAGGTCAGAGCTTTGGTCTTGTTTTTGAGAAATGTCAATGGTAGGTCTGAATTTTGGTGGATGGTACAGACTTTCTTGGATGAAATGAATGAGTTTGGCCAAAATGGAGCTCCATGTTGACCTTGTTCATGTCTTAATGCTTCCTAAGATAGTCATGCACAGCTGCTCCACCTGTGGAGTTGGGCTGGGAAGTTGACATGTATCCTTGGTGAGTGCAGAGCTCCTACCTGCTTTTCTTCAAGTTCACAAGTCGGTACTGGTCTCCGAGGTCTTATGTCTTCTGTGTTTCAACGTATTCTCTAAGCCTTCCCCTGGGGGTCCCGAGAAAAGGGAAAAGGTAGGACTGACACGTGGGAAGAGGAGGGTTCCAGCCAGATCCGATTCCTTCCCGACAGAAGAGAACTCGATTCTCTGAAAACTGCCCATTTTCTGGATCAACTCCTTTCAGAATAATAATCATACAACCAGGAGTGGCCGCCTTGATGCAGAACCACTTTTGTGAATCTCTGTCTGTAGAATGGCCTTAACCATCCCAGCCCTTGTCCACTCTCCTTTATTCCAATGGAGGAGGGCGGGGAGCGGACAATGATCTCAGCAGAGAAACTTCAGGGGCTCTAGTCCTCAATGACCACTCAACAGGAAGACTTGTTGGTCTTGGTGCAGCACAATAGGCCAGCCTCTTCTCATCGGCTCCCACTCCTTTGTGTGCCAGGGAGCGCCCAGCTGCGGGCTGGAAGCCCTGCTTGGACTGAATGAGATTGCAAACAAATGCAACTCTCCTAAGAGTCCAGGCACTAGACCATCAGAGTTAGCAACCGCTTGTCTTTGTAAAGGGACTGTGAGCCCAGGCCAGATAACAGACAAACTTTCACTCACCTGCCCAAACTCTCCAGACTGTAGGCACCTTCAGTTAAGCCTAGCCCCAGGGAATCAGACTCCTAACACTTGTAATTTGGTTAACAGCCCTCTTCAAAGACAAATCACAGCTTCTCCACTTTCTATTTCTGTCTTTCCTAATTGTTCTATGAAGTTAGTAATTTAGGTATTTGCCATGTTCGCTTATTACTTAATGATGACAGTGTGTTGGGCACTCAGGAACTGAGGCCCCCAGGCTAAATATGGTTTAAAATAATGACACATCAATGGAGACAGAACCTGATATTTTCCCTGGGTATTTTGAACTACTTTCCCCTGTATTTGTCTGAGGTTTAACATGAGCTTTGTTTTGCTTTGGCTTGACTGCGTTCCAGAGAGAGAAAAAGTTGGAGCCCATAGGACTTCCAGTGTTGACACAGCTCGGAGGGAACAGTGGGAAGCGACGTAGCAGCAAATCTGTCTTACCGCCGACGCCTGAGGGGAAACCGAAGGCAAAGGCGAAGGCTGGTCACATTTCAGAGGAAACAAAATGAGCAGAAACACCGCTGCCCAACATGCCACTGGCATTGGTGCCAGACCGCAATGTGATAATGGCTTCCCACTAACACCTGACCCTTCCACTTAGATTGGTGCAGTGGTCGGCAAACTCATTAGTCCACAGAGCCAAATATCAACAGCACAACGATTGACATTTCTTTGGAGAGCCACATTTTTTAAACTTAAGCTTCTTCTAAGGCCACTTCTTCAAAATAGACTCGCCCAGGCCGTGGCATTTTGTGGAAGAGCCACCCTCAAGGGGCCAAAGAGCCACATGTGGCTGGCGAGCCGCGGTTTGCCGACCCCTGGACCAGTTAGCTCTGCTCTAGCAAGGGGAAAGTAGGAAAACGAGGCGATTACCATTATGCTTAGGGCGAAGGGTAAAAACCTCCACAATTTGAGAAATTGACTCCCCGGCCTGATCCTTGTGATTCTTTTCCACTTGGGTGACACCCAGGGATCAGAGCCCTCCAGTCAGACCACTGGTTCTTCTGGGATGAGATGGCACACATGCCACCGGAAGACACGTGACCCTGTGAGGTCACACGGCGCGGGGCGGACGGAGGCCCAGCTGTAGGTGTCTCAGCCCGGGCCTGGCTGTCAGCCTCAGAGGTTCCTGTAAGGCAAAGGTGCTACGTAGGCTGGAAGCTGTCAGCTCACTTCAGTAGATGAGAGAGAGAGAGGGCTAATTTTAGTTTTTGTAAGCTATTACCTTCTGTACTCAACGTGCAACCACATGACAAAATGACAGGATACAGAGAGGGGGAAATGTGTCACTGCTAAAGAATATGTAGCCTGGCCAGGTGGCTCAGTTGGGGTCTTGTCACCAAAAAGGGTTGCTGATTTGACTGGGGTCCGTACAGGAGACAGCCGATCGATATTTCTCTCTCTATCTCTCTTTCTTTCTGTCTGTCTGCCTCTCCCTTCCTTCCTCTCTCTAAGGTTAATAAAATATACTATATATCGGCTGCCAACTATTCCAAGCAGTGAGCCTGGCACTTGCTCTTCAGTGGTGGACCATAAAGAAAATAAGTAACTGCTGAAACCGGTTTGGCTCAGTGGATAGAGCATCGGCCTGTGGACTGAAAGGTCCCAGGTTCGATTCCGGTCAAGGGCATGTACCTTGGTTGTGGGCACATCCCTGGTAGGGGGTGTGCAGGAGGCAGCTGATCGATGACTCTCTCTCATTGATGTTTCTAACTCTCTATCTCTCTCTTTTCCTCTCTGTAAAAAATCAATAAAATATATTTTTTTAAAAGAAAATAAGTAACTTACAATCTGCAGGAGGAAACCAAATTTAATAGATGGTCATAGAAAAAATGTTTAATTCCAAGGTGTGATACTAAGAGAAAAGGGGGAGTATAATGGGTTACGAGAGCATACTGGGGCTCCCCGTTTAGGTTGAGGGAACTGCAGACCAGAGATTGACGCTTTGAGGAGGTGACATTGATGCTCAAGTACAACACGATCCCCAACCTTCAGCTTATGGAGAGATGCTGTCAGTGGTGAAGAGGAGCAGCATGCATGTTAAGCTGCCCTCGCTGAGGCGTGGTTTTCCGTATGTCTGTCTGTATAGGCCATCGGCAAGGACTCTTTCACTTCCTGTCTTACATGTGGCATGTGACTGTATGATCACACCCCAGATGTCACATGTCACACGGATTTCCTTGCACAACTAAGTGGTTAGTCATCCCAGTCTGTGGTGACCGGAGCCCTCGCTCTTTGGTACATATTTACATTTCCCGAGCAAGCACAGAGCCTCTCACGGCTGCTCTCCTACGGGAGCCTCAGAGGAGGCGCCCCGCCGCCCGTTCTATGGGGAGCCTGCCTCTGTTTGCCTCCCCGCTTGTGGGAGCTGACAGTGGTCCCTGACCCACTGCAGCCGTGGCCACTGCTCCGGCGACTCAGGGGGCCATGCATGTGGGGCCCTGGGGCCCTTCTCCCTGCTTTGCTTCTCCTCTCTCTGGAGAACGCGCTGTCCGCACTGTGGACACGTGGAAGCGTGACAGGGAAACGCTCTGTGTGTGCCAGGCGCTAACCGCTCCCGTCCGTTCCTCTCCAGGGAGAGAAGGGGACAAGGACTACTTCTCGCCCGGGCTCCTCGTGCTGTACTGCGCGTCCTCCTTACTCATCCCCGCCATCGGGATGATCGTCTACTTCGCGAGGAGGGCCAACATGAAGGGCTCCTACAGCCTGGTGGAAGCACAGAAATCCAAGGTGTAGCCGGCATTTGCCATGCTCCGCCACAGACACTCTCAGCCTGGAGCCTTTATCCCACCCATCCCACCCATCCCACCCATCCCATCCCATCCCACGGGAAAAGCCAGGGGCCGAGTCCTGGCTTCTGGACGCGGTGGACTCTCAGAGGAGACTGTGGACTCTCAGAGGAGACGGCTGCCCAAGCTTCTCGCTGTGGCCCAAAGCCCAGGGCAGACTTCCGGCCTGGGACACGGGCAGGAGCCCGGAGGTGTGTGGCCCGGAGCAGTCCCTCGATGCGTACATACAGCACCGGGACCTGTACATATGTCACATAGGATTAGGCCCGAGCGAGATTGCTCGGAGCAGCAGCACCTGCGAGGGAGAGCTTTGACATGACTCAGCAGCGTCGCCTGGACTAGTTGGTCTAACTTAATGCATCTTAGGAAAATTTAATGTTAACATGGACTGGCAGCTGACCTATGTCATCTTTTTATACTTTATTCTCCTCCCTATAACAAAATTGGATTCCTATCAAGTTCACAGACAACAATGTCATGTTTGTTAAAAAAAAAAAAAGCCAGGGTTTTATATGTTACAGGCAGATGATGAACCGACAGGGCACAGGGTTGACTTTCAGGTACTAAAGCGTCAACCTCTGGTGTCATGGGTGTCTGGTCTCTCTGGGCGGTACTGACATGGTACGGAGATGTTTGATGTTGTTTGTTCAGCCCCCGCTTGTGAAATGTTCCCAAGGTGACCTGATAATGCAGCTTCCTTTAATCTTCTTTTGTAAATGTTTAGTCTTTTTGTACAGTAAAGCGATCGTTTCTGGACTTGTAAGAGTTGTGTGTCTATTACCAACTGCCTCCTTGAATCACATGGTAGCTCTTCTTGAGATCCCAAGTTCCAAGGATGAAGAATTCAAACCCGTAGGAAAAATAGGTAACACTCAGCATATGGGCCTCATGCTGCTTTTATCAGCATCGCCATGGGCACCTGTCTTGGTGCCATCTTAACCCACTGAGAGGGAACATCGAGTTTTGTGTCCTTGTAGTCTGCAATGTAAAGAATTTAAGGTACAACATACATGAAGGCATGAACCCAGAAACATGCATATACTGAAGGGCAATGATTGGTGAACACCATGCGCATTCCCTCAGACCTACAGCGATATCCTTCAGAGCCTCTCAGGTGTACTCCTCCCGGAGACTCGCTGAGCAGTGATTGATACCTGGAATTCTATATTAGCCATTCCCTTGCTTTCTCTGGAGATTTTATGCCTGAATAGCTAGCCCTGAGTAAAACAGTATATAATTTTGCCAGGTTTTGAATTTTATATAGATACTAGAGGCCAGGTGCATGAAAGTTCATGCACTGGATGGGGGTCCCTCATCCCAGCCTGCCCCCTCTCACATTCTAGGAGCCCTTAGGGGTGGGAGATGACTTGGTGATCAGGGGAAGGCATCACACCCATCACACCTCTGCTGCTGCCACTGCCAGCAGTGCAAGCCTTGGCCGGCCCTGGTTACCTGAGCCTCGGGCAGCCCTGGGCAGCTGGGCAGCTGCCATCCAAGATTTACTTGCACCTTGGACTGGCCCTGAGTAGCTGGGGGACTGAGGGGATTGGGGGGCTCCAGAGGCAGGCACACAGAGTGGCTAGACCCGCCTGGGGGTGGACCCAGCTGTTCCACATACCTGCCAACCCGGCTGGGCTTAGGGTACTGGGTGCCACCATCTTGTGGCTGTGGGTGCTGCCATTTTGTGGGTGTGACAGTCAATTAGCAGATTCCCTCCTTATTGGCTGTGGGCACCATCATTTTTTGTGAGGGTGTGATGGTCACTTAGCATATTCCCTCTTTATTAGCTGGGATAATCAAATGGTAAATTTGCCTGTGACTTTATTCTTTCACTCAAAACTATTCATTTGCATAATTTACCCATGCTGCTATATACTAGTATAGCTACAGGTCATTCACTTTTTATTAGTTGTTAGTATTTGTGACTCAATATCATAGCACAATATTATAAGATTTTGCCAGTTTATTTATCCATTGTTTATCTACTGTTGATGGATGTTCGTGCTGTTTCCAGTTATTTTCTGTTACAAGCAATTATTGTCCACGGTCCTGGCTAACAGTGACTGGAAAAACACACCATGTACAAGAGTGCATACTACATGATCTCATTTACATATAGTCCAAAGCATGTACAATAACGCATGGTGTTCAAGTCAGGCACGAGGTACTTCCTGGGTGGCCGTGACCGGAGGGGAGCACACTGGGGTAGGAGGTTTGAGAGGCCGGGGGAAGAAGGGGTCTCATTTTCCATTTTCCAAATTTGAACGCAAAGCAATCACAGTCAGAAGAGTTTTTTTCTAGTATGTGAACCAGGGCAGGCATGTCTCCCAAAGCAGCCAGGTAAAAATGGCAGCCCACCTGCGCTTGCACTTGGAATTCTCCGAGGCCTGTCCACAGTCAGGGCTCCAAGCCCAGCCCGGGGGAGGCAGCAGCTGCAGCTTGCCGAGCATCGGAACGTTGGCTCAGAGAATAAAAAGGAGAGGGAAGTACTTGAACCACCTTTCCCCGCGGAGCCACCTCGGGGATTCCCAAATAAGGCCTTGGCGGAGGGAAGGTGACATGGAGAGCCTGCACCCCATCACTCCACACTCAGGGAGGCTGGGGGCCGGGAGGACCGTTAACTGCGGCTGAGAACGCCTCGCCCAAGTGCAATGGGAGCTCCGCCTCCAGGTGCGGCCACGATGCCCCCAGCTGCCCGGCCTCACACCCGCATCTCACGCAGACCGTCCGCTTTATGCCTCGAGAATCGTGTGGTCCCTCCCTGCCCATCTCGCCTGGTGTCCCTCTGTGGGAACCTGACAGTGTTTAAGCAGGAGTGGGAAGGGTTTCCTGGGAAGGAGACACACTGCCTGAGGCTCTTTGTAAGTGACTGAGTCTGAGCTGCTGGGCTCATTCATTCATTCGCTCAGCCATTCCAGGCGCGTGGCCCTGGACGTCTGTCTGTGTCTCTGACGCAGCGGTCGGCAAACTCATTCGTCCACAGAGCCAGATATCAACAAGACAACGATTACGATTGATATTTCTTTTGAGCCACATTTTTTAAACTTAAACTTCTTCTAGCGCCACTTCTTCAAAATAGACTCGCCCAGGCCGTGGTATTTTGTGGGAGAGCCACACTCAAGAGGCCAAAGAGCCGCACGTGGCTTGCGAGCTGCGGTTTGCCCACCGCGGCTCTGACGTAGTGAAACGAGTCTGCGATACGCCTCTTCCAGGCTCACCCTGGCTGACCCCAGTCCCATCTGGCCCCCGTTTCCGCCCCGCACAGGGAACGTGGCTTCCCAGGCTTTGCCCAAATAATGGAGACCTGCCTTCCCAAAGAGAGGAAAGAGATGTTGGGAGCTTCTACACGTCACCAGGAAGAGAGGAGGAACGTGGCTGATGCCAGGCCTACCAGAGGGCTCTCTTCTCCCCTCTCCTGGTGAGAAATCCCGTGCTCTCGGGACTTTGGAATGGGGACGGCGCAGGCTGCTTCCTCGTCAGTGAAGGAGGTGAGGGCAAGGCCAGTGGACAGGTGTGTTCCGGGGATGGGGTAGGGTCCCCCCGAGAAGAGATCACATTCCAGTGGCAGCAATAAACCCTAAACTAAAACCACTCGTTCCCCACTCATTCCGGGGAAGGGAGGAAGGCTTCCAACAGCACAGAGTGGGGGGCTTGGGTGGGGCTTGTGAGGATTTGACAGTTTTTTAAAATATATATATTTCTTATTGATTTCAGAAAGGAAGGGAGAAAGAGAAACATCGATGAGAATCATGGATCGGCTGCCTCCTGCACACTCTCCGTTGGGGATCGAGCCTGCAATCCGGGCGTGTGCCCTTGACCGGAATGGAACTCAGGCCCCTTCAGTCCGCAGGCCGATGCTCTACTTACTGAGCTTTTAAAGTCAGAAAGGGCGCAGTGAGAAGGAGAACTTGAGAGAGGAAAGAAAACATATGCCAGGCTAAACTGGTTTTTGACTTCCTGAAGGATCTAAAGAGGAGGAGGGCGATGAGACACGGGGTTCGATGATGTTCCCTTCATCTTGGGGGGGCAGACGTGAGCCGGTTAGAATAACCGATTACACGCTGACAGAACGTGTCCCGGGCGAATGGGGGCCGGGTGGCTGCATCTCGTCAGTGACCGCGGCGGGCTGACGGGCCTCAGTCAGCTGTGCGGGGAAAGCAGTGTGTTACCAATCCTGAAAGTCAACTGCAGGGGCCGAAGGTTCTCCCTCTGCCGCTGTCTCCCCACTCAATGGCTGGGAGGGGCTCGGGGCACAGCTGGCAGGAGAGAACCCTGCCTGCCCGCCCACACTCACCACGTCCGGTGCCCCACGCCGGAGGCTGTGTCTGTGCGTGGCTGCAGGGAACCTCGCGGGAGCTCCGGCCCCGGGTGGGCAGCGAGGCACGGGCGGACCCACCGCCCCAATCTGGATCTGCGATGGGGCCGACGCCGGAGCCGGAAGGGGCTAATGTATTGGTTCCAGCAGAAGCATCTAAGAAAGATTCCAGTCTGAGTCACAGGGGGAGGCGAGGCGCAAGTGAACATAAATAATACAAAACCCTGTTCCCGTCCCAAACGGCCAGGATACAGTTGGGACATTGTTTTAAGGTGCGGCCCGCTGGCCATTGTGACAGGGGCAGTAACTGAATAAAGCTGAGTCAGAGGAAGCCAATCAGCTGGAGAGAGGGGCTGAGGAACTGAGATGCTGGGACCAGAAAGGAGACTCGGGGTGTGAGAGCTGCCGTCAGACATCTGAAAGACAGCGCCCCGGGGGGCAGAACAATGGGGAGAGTCACCGGGCTTCTCGCTCAGAAGGCGGGGGACCTCAGGGTTGCTTTCAGGCCCGGGACTCGAGGAAGCGGGAGCTGTGGCTTTGTAATAAATCAGGACCAGAATGCCCAGGGCCCACCCTTTTGGTATCAAAACCAAGGAGCAGCGTGGAGCCCGAGCCTCCGGGGCCTCTGCCAGCTGTGCTTCCTGTGGCGGTCACTCCGAGGAGGGCATCCAGGGGACACGCCAGAGGCTTAGGTAGCAAACAGGAAAGCTGGGCAAATGTCATAATGATGAGAAGATAGACTTTAAAAAGAAAAAAAATGATGGCAGAAGTAACTGGAAAAGCCAAAAAACTCAGGATGCTACAATCAGAGGGACGAGGGCAGAAGGAAGGGAAGTAACGGAGCCAGCGTTGGAGGGGGATGGCAGAGTGAGGGCGAGGGCCAGGTCAGGTCAAAGCCCGTGACTGCAACCTTTTGGTGGACTGGGTGACACTCCAACCGACAAAGCCACCGTTTTATCACTGGACTAGAGGCCCGGTGCACGAAATTTGTGCGGTGAGGGGTGGTCTCTCAGCCCGGCCTGTACCCTCTTGCAGTCCGGGAACCCTCGGGGGATGTCCGACTGCCGGCTTAGGCCCACTCCCCGTGGATGCTGTGCTTGTCAGCCATGAGCCCGGCTTCTCCCCCAGTGGGAGCCACTGACCACCAGGGGACAGCTCCTGTGTTGAGCTTGTGTCTCCCCTTCACCCCCCAGGTGGTCAGTGTGTGTCATTCCACTGTTTGGTCAATTTGCATATTAGCTTTTTATTATATAGGATATATCTAATCCCTACCTATACCTACATGGGCTTGATCTCCAAATGCTGTTTAGAAGAGCAACAATACAAATCTCTCTTCAGTTCTCCAAGAGAGCTTTTGCTAATATTAGAGTATTGCTGATGTGGGTACAGTCAGAAAGAAGCCAACGTTTTGAGTTAACTTTATAAGTGGATTTTAAGGTAC